GGGAAAAGGGACGAAGCGACACATCTATAGTGAAACATAGCGGGCATCCCGGAGGAACAGAGAGAACTCTGGGAGCAAGAGGGTGGCCGCAAGGGGGTGGGCCCTGGAGGGCCCCTTCGGGCCATCCCTGGCCTCGGAGGTGCGAGGGGAGGAGGAGGATGGAGGAGGAGGATGCGGGGAGGCAAGCCGCCGCTGGGGGGCCCTCGCGGGACGCCCTCGGGGCCCTCGTGGGACGCTCTTGTCGCGTTCTTTGGCGCTCTTGGGGCTGGCTTGGGGAACCCTTGGCGCCTTCTGAGGATCGGGCCGGGGGGAAGGGGGGGATTGGGAAAGGGGGGGTTACGAAATTTGCTGCATGCAGCTGGTTTCGGCCTCACCGAGGGGCCCATTCCTCGATACATAGCCGCCTCCGGCGCCGGGAGGCGCCGGGAAAATCGCCGGGAGCTACGGGAGCTGATTCTCAAACCCCCCCTTTGCTATCCCCCCCTTTCGCCCGACCCGAGAGGAACCCCCAGGGCCTCTTGAGACCAGCTTGGAGACTATCGATCGAAGGAGAGGTCCTCAATTTTGGTCTCAAGTCGGGCGTGCCCCTCTACAGGGGGGATATCCCAAAATGGTCCAAACATGGTTTTGTGTTTTGACTGTTTTGGGGCATCTTGGGGCATTCTGGGGGTATTTTGAAATTTTCGTCGAAAACCTCCCTGTATGGGGACACGCCCGACTTAAGGCGATCGATCAAAGGAGAGGTCCTCAATTTTAGTCCCCCCACCTGGGGCCTCGCCTCGTGGGGCGCTCTTGGGTCAGTCTTGGGCGCTCTTACGGCCGTCTCCTCCTCCTCCTCCTCCTCCTCCTCCTCCTCGTCCTCCTCCTCCTCCTCCTCCTCCTCATCCTCGTCCTCCTCCTCCTCCTCTCCTCCCCCTCCTCTCCTCCCCCTCTTCCTCCTCCTCCTCCTCCTCCGCCCCCTCCTCCTCTTCCTCCTCATCCTCTTGGGCCCCTCCTGGGGCTCTTCTGGGCCATCTCGGGGTCCTCTGGAGGCTTCAAAAGCGCCTCGGAAGCGAAAAGGCGAGAAGGCACACATCGTTGATTACCACAGGTTTTGGAAGGATCTTGGCCTCTTGGGTGGTCCTGAAGGAGCTCCGAGAGCACTCGGAACCGTCTTGTGGCCTTCGTCGGGCCTCTAGGAGGTATGTCAGAAGCTACTTTGAACCATCGTCGGGAGCCGCCTTGGAGCATCGGAGGCCCTCTCGGAGCATCGGAAGCCATCTTGGAGCATCGGAGGCCCTGTTGGAGCCATCTTGGGCCCAAACAGCACCCTCCGGCACATCGCGGCCCGCACCAAAAAGCTTCAGGGAGGGGGGGGGAGGGCATCCTTCCCCGAAGGGAAGAGGGTGCTGGAAGAGGAGAGACAGAACTTGTGGGACCACGCTGGCCCCAAGGGCCGGCGGATTCTCCCAGAAGGCCGGAGGCTCCGAGCCCTCTGCAGAAAGGCCTGCCCCCCCCCCCCCCCCTGCCTTCCCCCCCCGAGCCCGCTTGCCGCCGACTGGGAGTTGGAGCGGGGTCGGGCCGTGGCGGCGGGAGCGTGGTGGATAGCGCCCCCGGGGCCTGGATCTCCGAGCCTCGACCCCCGGGGGGCTTTGCACCTCGATCCCCTCGGGAGCCTCGAGACGGGGTTCGTTGCAGACGGGGGTCAGCCAGAGCGACGGATCTTGCAGGATCCTGCAGCGCCAGGGTCGCATTGACCCGGGTTTGGGTGCAGGATCCTGCAGGGTCCTTCGCATTGACCCGGGCTTGGGTGCAGGATCTTGCAGGATTTTGCAGGCTTGATTGACCCGGGTCTGGATTGACCCGGGTCAGGAGATCCCCGATCCCCGATCCTCTCAAGCAGTGGCGCAGCGTCCTGGCGTTCTTTGTAGGCCTGCCGGGCAGCCTTCTCAGGAGCACTGGTGTGGTTTCCGTGCAGTGTTCTTGGGGCATTTCTGGCTTTTTTTTTGTTTTAGCATATCGGGCTGATGTTCTAAGAACCTTGTTGCTGTTCTTCGAACATTATGGGTTCTGAGACCATGTCGTGGTAGGCCTGTAGGAATGCCGGGACGGTCGGTCCCCGCTCAATCTTCGAGGAGGGGAATGGCAGCCCCGCGCGGGCGACAATGCCCCAATGACTCCTTTCCTGAAGGTCCACGGGCATCCACAGCGACAGCAGAAACGAAGACCGAGCGAGACGACAGCGAGTCCGAAGCCGATCGAGACCGACGGACCAAAAGCAGCCTGGTTACCTACGCAGCGGCGCAGACCTTTTTAGGGCGCCTGCTGGCTCCAAAAAAAGCCCTGAAAAGGGCCTCTTTAGGGCCTGGTTCTTCACCGCTCATTCCGGTCGCCCCCAATCACTACCCGCCTGACACCTTGGGTGAGCCTCGTCGCCTGGTTTTGGCGGCGCGCGCAAGGGGGTGGAGGGAGGGGGGAGGGCTGCTTAGAAGGAGGCTGCCTCTTAGAAGGCGCCGGCCCTACATCTATACATAAGGCCCGCGTCTTCTAAGAAGCAGGGGTGCTTCTAAGAAGCTCTCCCCCCTCCCCCCACCCCCGCGTGCGCGCCGCCAATGGTTTTCGGGTCATGGCTCCGATCCCCGGCCGCCGCGGGGCACCATCCGGGGGACCTCGGAACGTCCCCAGCGAGGCGCAGACGCTGGAAAGCATCCTGAGGCCAGAGGACCGCCGAGAACCGACGAAGAACCACGAACGACCCCTGGAGGGGAGGAAAGGGACAGGCCAACCGCGCCGCCACGGGAGGGACCTACACATCCTGGGATGGTTCATCGGATGCGGCACCTTTTGCGGGGAGGTCGTCGGTTTGCGGCGGGCTGCCTCCTGATATCGTCGAGGTTGCGAGGACGATCTCAGAGTTCCACAGCATTAAAAGAGCTTCTCGTTGACGTTGTGCAGTGTAGTGTTGTCGAGCCGGAACAACTCTTGACGCTGAAGGGTTGGAAGGCGTCGTCATCGCGCTTGTGTGGGGCACCCAAATTGCCGACGCTCCAGGTCGGCCTTCAAGCCTGACGCCCGTGGCCATGGCGTGGGAGTCGAAGGTCTCGATGTCGCACGCCGAGAAGTCCGCCGCGATCGCTGGCCACAGTGCCAGGGTCTTGACGGTACTGGCCCCGAAGCTGAGGGGCGCCGCGGCGCAAGTTATTGCGATTAATGGCCGTCGTGGCGAATGCCACGCTGACCATCGTCTGCTCGTCCTTGTCGCATGCAATCGGCGTCACCCCAGCATACTTATTCTATGTGTGCGTCGCCCCCCAAGGGACGACGCGCGCACCGAGAAATCTTACAGTGTATGCGTCGTGGCGGGCGCTTCCTGGCCACACCGCTCGGGAAACGATATACTACAAGATGGGTATATTATATGTCCGGGTCGGACTCACGTCTCCAAGGAGGACATATAGTAGTAGTATTTCTCTGTGCGTCCCATGCAAGGCGCAACCCGTGGAGCAGATCCCTTCCGAGTAGTGCCTTGCAAGCCTCGACGGTGAGGTCGTCGCACCCTCCAGCGAGGTAGACGTCCAGTTCCGCGGGCTTCCGGATCGAAGCCAGTGTACCACGCTGCGCAATTTTTCTCGTCGTCGTTGCGACGCTCTTCCTCCAGGGCGTGGACACCTGCTTGTGGCGCAGCTCGCTCGTGCCCTCCTCTGCGAAGAGTCCCTTGGCGGTCTCTCCAGCGCCTGCCGCGTGTCGGATCGGAAACCCAGGAGGCGCCCCCAGTCCTGCGGTTGGGGGAGTAGAGAGGTCGCAGTGGAACACCGGGCCCGGCCGCCTGCTGCTCGCAGCGGCTGCTTTTGGCGACTCGGGGGCCGAGTCCGCTCGGAAGGCCCCGACGACAGGCCGCGGCGTCGCTGGCGCCAGGTCCGGTGGGGGCGCCCGCGGGGGCGCCAGGGCCGCGGCTGCAGCCGGCGCCCCTGCGCGGAGCAGTCCCTGAGGGCTCGTCGCTTGCAGCTTGGGGAGGCCGTCGCTGTTCCGCCGCGCGCTGTCCGAGAGGGAGGAGAGCGTCGCTGGCTCGCGAAGCTCTCCCCAGCGCGGGAGGTGCGCATGGAGCGTGGCCTGGTCCACTTCCTCGTCAACTAAAACAGGGCTAGGATCGGGATAGATCGCTCCAGAGCGTTCCGGAGCGCTCTCAGAGCGTTCCGGAACGCTCTGGAGCGGCCGCGGCGCCCAATACATCCTCCAAACCCGCCGATTCTCAGAGACTTCGAGTTATCCCGATCCGATTTTGTCCCGATCTTCGCGTCGCTTTATCAACTACCGTGAGCAGCCCGGTGGTGCACTGGGTCAGCTGGTCCAGCCCGGCGAGGCCCTCCTGACGCTCCGAGTCCAGGTGGCGTGTTCGACTCCCTGCGCGCTCGGAGGGGCACCCGGCGAGCCTCGCGCGCCCGGCGCTGCCCTTCTCCTCGTCCCGAGAGAGCGGGCGGCCCGTCGAGGGGGCCTTGATCGGGAGGGAAAGAAACACACAGACACAATTAATCGTCGACTCCCCCAAAACATATGGGGAAATAGGGGAAGTGAGGGGGAAGACAGAACCCCAGAAAATATGGGAGAATATGGGGGATCCTTCTATCTGTGTGTATTTATTTGTATGTCCCAGGGCCCCTTCACTTGAGCCTTTCCCACCAGCCAGGGGGCTCTTAGCTCCACGCCCACTCGGGGGTTGGGGGGGAGCTGCTCCTGTCCAGGCGGCGCCAGTGGCGCCTGAAGTGGTTATCGGCGGCCGCCAGCTCCCTGGCCAGGTCTGGCTCAGGGGCAGCACCTCCATCGGGGTGCCAGGGCACTAGGGTTAAGTCGGGCCTGTCCCCCTACAGGGGGATTTTGAGTGACAAGTAAAACATAGTCAAGCAATACACCCAAATGGGCAAAAAAACCCAAACATCGTCCCCAGACTGTTTCTTTACTATTTTTGCATCTTGCCCCCCTGTAGAGGGACACGCCCGACTTAGCACTGGGGCTGAGGTTGCCTCTCAGCTCCCGCCAGCGGCTGGCGGGCACCGGCGCTGCGCGCCCGCCCACGGGCATGCCAAGTGTTGAATCGGGCTTTCCCCCCTACAGGAAGATTTTCGACGAAAAATAAAAAATACCCCAAAATAGTCAAAGAATAATCCAACAATAGTCCAGGGACTATTTTTGAATTATTTTTTGACCTCTTTGGGGCAGTTAGGGGGTATTTTTTCGTCGAAAATCCCCATGTAGGGGGACAGGCCCGTCTTAAGCCAAGTTGCGAGCTCGTTCCGGACCTTCCCGTGGATGGGCGTGGCCGAGGCGTCGAGGCCGTCTTCGGCCGAGCCGAGCGACGTGCGCTGCGGCAGCTCCTCGAGGAGACCTTCGGGCAGCCGGCCCGAGGACGCCCTCGGGCTTGATCAAGAGCCTCAAGCAGTGGCGACGCGTCCTGGCTCGCTTATAGTCCCACCAAACAATGTTGCAAGAACCTTTTGTGGCTTCTACGAAATGGTCTCAGAACATTTCTGGCGGAGCCTGCCTTGGTTTAGCACATCGGGTTACTGTTCTAAGAACACTGTTTTGCTCTTAGAACAGATCTGGGTTCTAAGAACATTTCGTGGTAGGACTATAGTCGGGGGAGCGTAAGACCCGGGTTTGCCAGGACTCGGGTTCGCCGTCGTTTTTTGACGACCGCGCCTCGGATTTTGACGAGGAGGAGTTTCGTGGGATGTCTGCAGCGGGAGGCCTCGTCAAAATGCAGGCTCGGCCTCGTCATTTTTTTGACGACCTCGTCGGGGATTTCCGAGTCCCCTGTACCCGGGTCGTATACGCCCCCCTGACAAGAGCCGGGCCGCCTCCTCGCCGGGGGCCCTTGACCTCGAGAGGGGGGCAGCGCCTCGCGCGGCGTGCCGGCCGCGGCGGCTGCCGCGCTGGCTCCCCCCCACCCGGCCCCGGAGTAGCGTCCGTTTCTTGGCCCCTTCGGCCCAGTGCACGCGTACTCTTGTGTCGGGCATGTCTCTAGCCTGGACGCCCGAAATTCAGGAGGGAAAAAACACACACAGACACAAGCAATCATGTATTCCCCAGAAAGCATGGAACATATGGGCAGTGGGGGGGAAGACAGAAACCCAGAAAATATTGGAAAATGTGGGGAATCTGGTTATTTGTGTCTATTTATTTGTGTGTCCCAGTTCCCCTTCAGAAATGGGCACGGAAAGAATGGGTACAATGCCCAACAGCGACTGTTGTCCCGAACCAGCAGCGGCCGCTGTGGGGCAGGCGGCCCCCTGCCTCAAATGTACAGGGGCCGCGGCGACACCGGCAGCGAGTCCTGTTCAAGATGAGCAACAACTGCTGTTGGGCATTGTACCCATTATTTCCGTACTCATGTCGGGCGTCCAAATCTAGGCCTCCTAGATGGGGTCGGAGTAGACGGGGTCGGAGGATCCCGCCGCATCACCGATGCATCGACGATGCGGCTCGATGTGGAGCCCGTGTTTCCCAACACCGACGTCGCCAATGCATAGCCGACGTCGCCGTTGCATCGCCGATGCATCGCCGATGCATCGCCGATACATCGGCGATGCATTGGCGATGCGGCGCGATCCTTCGACCCCATCTACTCGGATCCCATCTAGGAGGCCTGTAATGTCCTCCTACAGGCGGATTCTGGACGAAGGACACAACAGAGTCCAACACATGCACCACGTGAACAAAAACCATCCAAATAGATCGTCTCCATGTTTTGCTTGACTTTTTTGCGCTGCACCTCCCGTGGAGGGACATGCCCGACCTGAGCGTACTCGCAGCAGGCGGCAGCTCCTGGCTGCAGAGCCTCGCCTGGTGCCGCCGCCCAGGCAGGCGGTGGGAGGCCCTGCAGCCGGCACTGCCGCGGGCGGGCTCGCCTCGGTGCGCCTGTGGCGTGGCCTCCGCTGGGGCCCTGGCCGCTGGGGCCCTGGCCGCTGGGCACGGCCGCGGCGCCGGGCCGGTCGCGGCCGCGCTCCAGAGCTTGACAGAGCTGCAGCTCGGGTCCGACATCGAGCGTTGGACTGGCGTGCCGACCGCGCCCGGGGGTTGGCGCCCCGCCCAGATGCCCCTGCAGGACACGCGATCGGTGCTACTGGAGGCCTGGTCCCAGCGCGAGGCCCGGCGGCTGGCCAGCAGGCGCGCTGACTTCCGGCACGTCGACGTTGGCGTCGGCCGCTGGGCAACGAGGCGGCTCCTGACCAGCGGCTCGCTGGCGACGGACGCCGCGGGGGCGTTGCGCGCGGTGCTCGCGGGCAACGTGATCACCGAGTCCGTTGCAGCGAAGTGGGGGCGGCCTGCAGCTTGCCCGCACTGCGGCGCGCCCGTGGAGGATCTCGAGCACCGCATGTGACCTGCCCGCGCTGGGAGCCCCAGCGCCGAGCGGCGTTGCAGCCAGAGGGCTTCACTGCGGAGGCCGCGCGCGCCTGCCTACCTCCCGAGGCAGCGCGCACGGGCGTCTTGCACCGGAACCCTCGCTTGGCAGTCCTCGCGGAGGAGGTTCGGCTGCCCTTGCCGCTGCCCGCGCTCCCCGACCCGCTGGCCGGCCTCCCGGCTGCGCCGCAGCGCAGGCCACGCGCCTGGACGGACGGCTCCTGCGTTCGCCCGGGCGACCCCCTCCTCGCCAGAGCTGGCTGGGGCGTCCACCTCGAGGGCGGCGCCGGGGGCCACGTGGACCGCCATGGCCCCGTCGATGCAGCGCAAACCGCCCAGCGCGCAGAGGTCTGGGCTTGCGTGCAGGCGCTGCACTTCGCGGGTGGCTGCGTGGAGGTGGTCACTGACTCCCGCTTCGTCAGCCGCGGGGTCGCAGCGCTCCGGGGCGGCGCCAGCCCAGCTGACTAGGCGCGCGCAGACTTGTGGGAGGCGATCGCCCCGCATTGCCGCAGCGGGGTGCTGCGCGCCCGCTGGGTCAAGGCGCACCTCGACGCCGACCAGGCGAGCGAACGCGGGATGTCCGAGGAGGACCGCGCGGGCAATGCAGAAGCGGACCGCCTGGCGGGACTGGCCGCCGAGGGCCGGATGCCTGCGACCGCGCTGCGCTAGGAGCGGCAGCGGCAGCTCGACGCGCTGGCTACGGTGCAGAGGGTGTTGGCGTTCGTGGAGCTCGCGGCGCTCAAAGCCAACCATGCTCCGCGCGGCGCTGCGGGGCCGCGCGTTCGGCGTCGCTGGGCGGCGCCGCGCGCCGCGCGGCCCCGGCATGCCCCGCTGGACCGCGCCGCGAGGCCTGCGGCCGCGTGCGGCGCAGCCGCCCCTGCCCCGCCGGCTGCCCCGCCCGCGCCGGCGGCCGCGGTTCGCTCGCTGTTCGCCGGCCACGCCTGGCGGCCGCACGCGGCGTCCCAGGGGCCAGGATGGGTCGCATGCCTCCGCTGCGGCGGATGGGCCAAGCAGTGGCGCGGGTTGGCGAGCCGGCCGTGCGCCGGCTGGGTGCAGACGCTGCCGCCGCGCGCGGCGGGCCTGCTGCTGCTGCCCGCGGCCCGCGCCGGTGGCGCCGAGGCCGACTGGCGGTCGGCGCTGCGGGCGCGGCTCGCCGCGCGCCCCGGCGCGCCCGAGGCGCGTGGCTAATTAATTGCATTGGCGGCGCCGCCGCAGGCGCGGGAGCGGGCCGCGCGCCCGCCGCACCCTACCCCCTCCCCCCCCTCCCTCCCCCCTGCTTGTCCCCCCTCCGCCGCTGGGCAGTGTTCGCGCTGGTATAAAAAAAAGTGGCGCGGCCTCCGGCCCAGGCGCGGGCTCGGGCGCGCTGCTCCGCTGGGCCCGCGGGGGCTCCGGCGCGCGCTGCCGCGGAGCGGGGCTGCGGCGCCCGCCGCGGCGCCCGAGTGCAGCCAGGGTGCCCTCGCATGGGAACGAACAACGACATCAGCACAACAACTCGCCGTTGGTCACGAGGCCCCCTCATCACGCCGTGGGTCGCGATGCCCCCTCTGACTGTCTTGAGGGAACGAGCAGTGGCATTAGCATAACAGTTCGGAGGTCCGCGCGGATTTCTCGGATCGGCGCTGGGGCCCCCCTGGCGGCGCCTCCGGCGCTGCCCCTGGCGCGCTCCGCACGCCAGGGAGGGGGGTCCAGCGCCGATCCGAGAAATCCGCTCGCACCTCCGAGTTTTTGCGTTTGTGTCATTCCTCGATCCCCTCTGTCTGGCAGGGGCGGTCCGCGGCCTCGGCCTCCAGCTCAGAACTCTTGGCCCAGGAGCCGCCCCCGCGCGGAGCCGCCCGCCGTGCGACGGCGGCGCCAACGCCTGCGGCAGACGCACGACCCGCAGCAAGTCGGCGCCGCAAGCCCACGACGTCCCATCCGCGCCAGGCCCTCCCACGAAAGCACGACGACCCTGCAGGGAGTGAGCTTGGCGCGCGCGCGCCGATGTGAATGATCGCCTCGCTGTGGACGGCCGCGTACTCCTGGAAGTGGATCTCCCCTGGCTTACGCTGGCAACTTCTTGTGCGGCACAAGCGAATTTTCTTGCTGGCATGATCTTCGAGCTGCCACGGTAGCGCATGCGCTCCAAGTCTGAAAAGTCCAGATCGAGCCTGGCAGCCTCTCGATCTTATCCTCTGATCAGCAGGTCAGTGGGGATCCTTTTGAACCCCCGCCCCTCCTTGACACTTCTGCGCCAGTATTCCTTAGTGGTGTCGTGCCCGGTGGCGGGGCTCTGCCACTGAACGTTCACCTGAGGAGGGAACGCCGGCGGCAAGAGCTTGTCTAGCTCCACCTCGCTTGGCGCCTTCCTGCGCGGGCACCAGCAGGTGAAGACCAGGGGAGGAAGTCGAGGACCCACGCGACCCGGCTGCGCGAGGCGAAGAGCGTCCTCAAGCTGCGGGCGGTCAGCGCCAGCACGCTGTAGAATTGGGACACCCCCAGCAAGCCGGCGACCGCGAGCCAGGCGGCTCCGAAGAGGGTGACGCGGCTCTGGTCCAGCAGGTGCATGAGCCTGCCGCCGTCGGAGCTGAGCCACCCGCCTGCCTCGCGGGTGGAGAGAGAGCTCGTTCAAGATTGCCCAGGGACTGGAGCGTGCCACCGTCCGTCCCCTCGAGCGTCCAGCCCAGGGAGTTTCCGAAGGTCTTCCAGGGGATGCCTCCGAAGCCCCAGCCCCCACCCCGACATGCGCTCTGGATCCTCCTCCCCTGCCGCGGGGGGATCCTGGCCCCCGGCCTCCACGTGCGCGGCCTCCTCGCTCCTCGTGCGCGCGCCCGGCGCCGCCGTCGTCGCCGCACGCGGCGTGCGCGGCCGCGCGGGGAGGCTAACTGTATCGACGCGATGGCAGCGCCTTTGCGCGCCTGTGTGTGGCCACCTGGCCAAGCTCTCCGCCGAGCGCGCGGCGGCGGAGCCTCAGGAGACGCGCGGTGGGCTCCGTGCTCGAGGTGCCGCGCGGACCTCCTCCGCCGCCGCCCCCTCGCCGTGTGGCCACGGGGGCCCGCGGCCGGGCCCCGCGGGTCGTGGAGCCGCTCCGCGCCCCGCCGCAGGGCGCCTGCAGCGCGCGCAGCCCCTGCTCACCACCCACCAAACTACCCCAACCCAACCCGAAGGCCCTGATTTACCCTCGATTTCCAGTGGGGGGGGGGCGAGAAACATCGACAAAAACACAGGTAGAACCCTTAGCCCCCCCCAGCCCGAAATTCGGGTCTTCGGGTTGGGTTGGGGTGGTCTGGTAGGTAGTCACCTGCGCCCCGCGGGCGCCGCGGCGCCACCGGAAAACGCGGCGGAGGAGGGCGCCGCGCGGCCAGCGCGAGCCGGGGCCGCACGGCGCCTGGCCCAGGCAACGTTGAAGTCGGGCGTGCCCCACGGGAGGGATGTGTCCGAACATAGCCACGAAGTGGTATGGAGACGATGTATCGACTATGTTGTGGGCCATTTTTTGGTGCACTTTCTGGCTACATGTGATTGCTCGTCCGAGATCCGTCTGTAGGAGGACACGCCAGACCGAAGGCTGGCGTGAGCGGGTGCCGCACGGCGCCTGGCCCCCGCAGAGCCCTAGTCGCGCGCCTCAGCGCGGGTGGGC